CGCGATTTTACGGAAATTACGAAAGTGCACGTCCGTTATATTAGACAAACAACGGCGGCGGCTCAATGCAAACACGTCGCCGGAAATATGCACGGCAAAAAATCAATGTGACGATTTCACTCGCGAATATTCACATCGACGATTAATATCGGCAATTTCTAAAGCGACGGTATCGTAACGCATTAATTATAATAAGCTTCGAAAGGCTATTATATTTATATTAATAATTATGTCAGCGGATAAAAGGAGTGGAAATATAAAGATAAAATTGCTCTCTTTACGTAACCACATGAGAAAGATTATCAAAGCGATATATTCGGATTTTGCGTGACACATTTTCACGAACCTCCCTTTCGTGTCTCCTGAGATAAAAGGGACGAGCTGCGTTATTTAATCGTGCGCTAACGAGTAATATTAACGTTCAGCGATAGTTTTCGCGCGTTAACGAGGCGATTCATGACTTTCCGACGAATTGTTACGTAATTACGCGGCTCGCAAATTTATCACGCGAAGAATTGGCGAGCAGCGGGACAGCTCGCCAACGATGCGCGACGGGAGGATGGTGTCACGTCCTCCCCCGTAAGGCTAATGAAACGGAACATGTTCGCCGAATTTCGCCTGGCAAAATACGACCGCGAGGGTGTTGTTGTTGCTGCTGCTGTTGCATCTGCCAGCATCGCGAGTTTATAGAGGCGTATATTCGCACACCGTACGTATAAATTACATCGTGATGCGGCATGGAATAATTAGGACGACCCAGGGACGTATATGTGAAGATTGAATTGACTATCCTCGGTTAAAAGAAATTTATTGCCCGCCGATAATACACAATCGAAGTTGAGATGAAGACTCTGAGAAACGGACGCGAAGAAATCAAAGCGCGACTCGAGGACAGACTTGAAATTGAAATGACATCAAATGAAACAAATATCAGGATTTGAATTGTGAAATAAATGATTATGGAGCGATGATTACGGAATGATAGTTGCATCGTAATTATATCGTATAATTAGCGCTTTGGTTCGATTTCGCGTAGGATGAAAGCTTCCCGCGCGTCTGCGTGGAAAATTTTCGCGTGCGCCCCTGCGGGGAGGCAACGCAGAGTGGGATCGCAGGCCGGTAACGACCTCGCATTAACCCTTTGCACTCGAGGGCTCCGGAGCGGAGCCATTTAAAATTTGTCTTCAAACTCTAGGGCTCAGCTATGGAGACAATGCCAATAGCAAGAGCGGAATATCCTATATACAATAGTTTTTACGATTTGTCTTTATGTTATGAACTGAATGCCTTATGTTATGAACTGAAAGTTATTTGCATTGTCTCCATAGCGGAGCCCTCGAGTTTGAAGACAAATTTTAAATGGCTCCGCTCCGGAGCCCTCGAGTGCAAAGGGTTAANAGTTAATATTCTTTCCGCTTGAAAACATGCATCGAGCCTTTCGAGGTGCATTAAGCAACCCGTCGGATGCGTCATTGAATGTGCCGCTAAGTAATTACGGGTGCCGTCGCTTCCGGGAGCGTCCGCGCTACCCTAACTGTTTCGGCCAGCGGAAAATTATCGCCGAAAACACGTCGCGAAATGAGGTGTCTCCTGAGGCTCCCCCAAAACGTGTCGTCGGACGATGACAATTTGTCAATTCACTACGGCGAATTACTTCGTGTAATTTTGACCACGTGCTCGGATAAACAAGCGTGATGTGCGCGGCAAGCGGTGACGCACCGCGATTTTTCGGCTACTGAAAGCGTGAAAGCTGTTCTCGTTGGAAGAGAAATTAACATGTAACAATATTTAATATTTGCTACAATTCGAAAAAGTTGACGCACTTAATAAATGCTGTATGAATCATACGGAGCTCTTTTAATTCGGATGTTAACTCGGTATTAACTCGCTGTACTGTAAAGCCAAATTATTCGCGTAATTCTAATATCCTAATACGAAAAATTTATGGTAATGTCGACACATTTGGTGCAATTTATTGACTTTTACATATTTATGTATTCTTTACTGAGATGTATTCTAAACTAAAATATTTTTTTTATTTTCGCCAGAAAATCGCTTCGAACTTCAACATTTAACATTGACGTCCTAGCGAGTATCTATCACGTTACGACAAATACCGGTGACTTCGATGACTTGATTCGCGAATCTGTTGGGAAAAATCACCAACCGATAGCCACTTGCGATGTTCGCTCGCAGCGCGAAAACTGGAAATATTTTGCTTGTCGAAGAAAAAAAAACAGTCTCGCGGATAATATTATTTTTTCCGTGGGATAAAGTAGTTTACGTTTCGTGCAGTTCAAATTGTTAAACAAACAGTGGAACTTAGCAGATCCGAGCGAGGATTTTATCAGACCTACCGACGACGTGTTGCGTAATGTTTACACTTTGGTTCGCTCTCGACGCGAGTGTAAAAAATCGATTATAATCATCGAGTATTAAAGGCCAGCCGCGTGATTTGCCTATTGACGTGTTACGCTGGCGATATTAATCGCGAGTGGCATGAAATTCTCACGCACGCTGGCTTTGCAACAGCTCGAAAAGATTATTATCTCACACGCGACACGTATACTTGTAGATTACTTCGCAATATTTGTGCGAAGACTGCTCGACCCGCCGTGAAAGGTGACTTCGCGAATTGCAGACTTTAGCGCGAAATTTATTTCCACAGAATAATTTCCGCAGATTCAAGTTGGCACGTATTCGAAGAATGTAGCCGAGAGCGTATTTGACTAACTGAAAGGACGATGGATAAAATAACCCGATTATATCCTAAAATTTGTTTCGTAAGTTATATATATGATTTTACATTTTCTAGATCGCTGAATACTATAGTAGCATTTTATCCGTTTAAACCCGTGAAAAAGTGGTCAGTATTTTTTTTTAATGAGCCGAAATAAGTTACTTTTAATAATAACCCGGTTAGCGACGGTTTTGTTCCAATTATTATATTACTTGTATTATAATTTCTTAACCCTTTTAGTGCCGGGCGAAAAAGAGGTGCTTATGCGAAGATAACCGGCCGATTTTACTAGGATTTGGTAAAAGGCTCATAAAAACCAAACGAAAAGCAATATTTAAAAATTATTTATTTTAATTCTCTCGTAATGAAATTAGACTATTTATAACGTATTTTAAATTTATTTTGATAGAGATCTCTCGCAATGCGAATAGTAAAGCGCTACAAGGTGCGGGCCGATATATCGGCTCTGGCACTTCTCGCCGGTGTAGCAGGAGCCGATATATCGGCTCCCGGCACTAAAAGGGTTAAAGAATATTTCTTAAAATAATTATATTTCTTCAAGAAATTGAGACTACCTCTCGTAATTGAGTCTCCGACTAAAGCGTCAATAATATATATATATATATATATATATATATTACGAGAGGTAGTCTCAATTTCTTGAAGAAATATAATTATTTTAAGAAATATTCTTTAAGAAATTATAATACAAGTAATTAAATAATTGGAAAAAAACCGTCGCTAACCGGGTTATTATTAAAAGTTATATTTAAAGTATATATATATTATAGTTAAAGTATATATATATATATAGGGAGAGAGAGAGAGAGAGAGGGAGAGAGAGAAAGAACAAACAAACCTGAAAAATAGCGAACTCTTATGCTGTGAACATGGGCAGAAAATTGCGTTTATCGCGATATCTCGCTTTCTTCTAGGAAATGTAAACATATCGCATATAGTTGGAGTGTTCAGTCGATGAGTTAATTATACTACGAGATACATTCAAATATAAATATTGAACGATATGAATAAAATCGATGAGAAATATTCGCATATCGCGTATTTGAACGGAAGGAATGTTTTTCTCGTAATAAAAAATGATTTTATCAGAAATAAATATTTTACGAAATTATTATATTAAATAACATCCACAATGGGTTTGTTAAAAATCCAAGTCTATTATTTCATACGTCCAAACGTTGTTTTGCAAAGGAAATTTTTTTTAATGAAAAAGTTCGGAATAAAATATTCGCGTGTATTATTCGCGACGTAACCGCGATTAAATTTACCATCGTTACGGTTGCGTGGGAATATTCGTCGACCGATTAGTGTATCGAATCGTCGGTGCTTATTGAATCGTGCACAAAGCACAGTTTAACGAGGGATCCGACTTTCCTCTCGGGACACTCGATGATACACGTGTAAACATTATTTTCAATGCGAATATCGAATTTCGCGTATGCGGGTCCGTTCGACGAGAAACGCAATTTTTATCTCACTTCCGCCTTGATTCTTCATCAGCGAGGGAAGCGCAAAAGAAGGGGAGGTGGGGGGTGTCGCGCATTTTCTCTCTTCCGGAACATCGAGCGAGATGGAACAGGGGCGTTATGCGGCAGAGATCACTCACAATGACGCGAGTCGAGTTTACGGATCGTTTGAACGGGAAAACGAGCTCCACGAAATTGCGGTTTCCACTTGTCCGAGCGTCCGTTCGCCTGTCTGTCCGTCCCGTGATCGTTTCTTCGTCGAGTGAAGGCGGGAAGGACGCTTCCCTCGTTTACTTTCCTCATTTCCTCGCCCGGAATTCGGGATTACCGCCGAGACGGGGTATCTTCCTGCGTAAACACATCGTCGTGATGTCGAAATGCTATCAAATTTTCGCGATATTCCACGATCGAAGAGGCCGCTGGGATCACAGGCGTTCAATTATTTCCGATTATCGAGCGTTAACTTTGCGTAAACTTGAGGATAAATGGATTGGCGTGGCGTTTTTTTTTTTTCCTTTTCTCTCCTTCCTGTTTACAATTTACCTTAGGCCTGTTCGATTCTGGCTGAACTAATGTTGATAAAGAACCAAGTTCCATTCCGTTCAACGCTAAGTTATACACTTGTTTCATCGTTGAACGAAGGAATCGTTCTTGCCGCCTTCACTTTAAAGGTAAAAGGTGCAATTTAGCTCGACTGAAACGGACAAACTTCTTATTTCGCGGTAGCGAAGATAACGTTTTTATCGTGTAATTTCCCGTTTGTATTTTTGCAGCTGGCACTGCCGCGGAGAAGGGTTACTTCGGACCATGGAGACAATGCAAACTCCTGCTTTACGGACGAGAGTGGTGCGGCCAAAACGTCTCCAGGTTTCAACCAGTGTGTAAGTTTTGTTTCATGTATGAGACCACGAGAAAAGCATCGGTATCTCTGAATACTTCCGCGTGAAAATATGGGTTAACATATTTTCCGCGCAGCTGATTATATTATACCGTGTTAATAAATAGCTTACGCGTTTTTGGACATGCGCGTCGTACAATTAGACGACGCTGATCGGCTGGATGTCACCTAATAATTACAGCCTCGTTGAGCATCGCGGAAAAATATTTCGCGAATTTTCCATTTGATCTCTGTTAAGGGATACGGTCGCACAATCGGTGAACGCCAATCGGGAAATACCCCGTATATATGCAAGGTGTGTTCTTTTAATCTTAATTTATTCGGAAGCGACAATAAAGCAGTGTGCGACGCGCGTATTCGTGATGTTCCAATTGATACAAACCGCCATTAATCATTCTCATCTTTTCCATTGCTCCGTTATTTACTCATTACCCGGGATACCGCAACGTTCGAAAGGTATAAATTGATAACGGGGCTGAAAGCGGGGCGGAGCAAAAATCCGACGAGGAATCGCAATGGGACGCGATAGAATTTTGACGGAGAATTTCTCTTTCCTTTGTTTCAGTGGCTGTGTGGGTGGCGGGATTAGCCGCTGCCGGCGCCTCCGCCCTTTTGGCGATTCTGGTCGCCCTGGCTGTGCTTCAATTAGCGATGGCTTCCTCCGCAAAGCGAGTTGTAATTTCGTACAGCACCGCCGTAATAGGCAAAGTCGCCCTGGCAACGTTAGCGAGTGAGTACGGAATTTTCACTGTCACGGTACGAAGGGGAAGTTAAGCCGAGGTGAAACGAAGTTACGGCTTCGAACGGAGCAGCGTGCCCCTCGTGTTTTACGACGGCGGAAATGATGTAGCAGATAGATAGAGATTAGATAGAGCACAGTTGTGGCAGTACAGTTACAAATATCAAATATTTCCCCCTCAATGCAGATTAAACGCATCCGTTCTGGTTTTTTTTCACGAAATTTCGTAATTCGGTGTGGAAAAAAAATCTATCATCCGCATGTAAATTGCACGTTGGAGAAATTCACATACGATACAATTTGAATATAACTCCGTGCTCGGAGTATCGGGCTTCTTTCTTCTCCGTTTATTTCGCTGTAAATCTATTATTATCAAGTATGTTATGTATTATCGTTTAACGCATAAATCAATGCTATTTTTCTTTCTCCCTGTTGTTAAATATTCCTTGTCGTTATTCGGGTTGCGGTCGTTGTTAAAATTCGCTATTTATCCCGCGGGATAATTAGCGTCGCAAGCGTTTACTACTTACTGTTTCTCTGTCATTACGTAATGGACTAGTCACTGTGAGTCAAGGCCTTGACATACGAAAGCATACGAATAATCCGAATCACGTTGTCACGTGGAAATTCTGTCGATCCGCACGTACGTGATTTCACAACGCATTACCGACAGTTCGACGGTAGAATTACCGCTCGTATTCTCCCTCCCTCTCCCTTCCTTTTGTCAACTTACTAGCCTACTTACCTTTATGCGAGACATCGAATATCCATGGTAGATTACGTTACGGTAAAGCGATATATTCTAATACCGTAAGTGTACCGTGCCAGTCTCTCTCTTCCGCTGCGTTAATGACTTCGCGTGTAAATTAAGGAAACGCTGAGCACGTACCCACGTACCACTTCCGACGTTCGACTTGTTTTAATTATCGAATTAATTTAGTTTTAGCAGTATCTCAATTAATCTCTCGCGCCAATAAAGAGGAGCATTTATTGCAGAGGTAAATATTTCGCTGGACTTCCAAAACGACTCTTAGTAGTTCTATTGAAGGCGCGAAATCTTATTCACGTAAAATTTATGTTTTAATTAAGTTAACGAAACACACCGTGTGAATTCCTTTTTTTAAAACGGAGCTGTATATACGCATACACATACACGCACGATGTAAACTATTAGTTGCCTGAGCGAGATATAGGATTAGAAAGTTATAAGTCGTGTCGTTCGATGCTTTTTACAGCTGCGCTGGCAATCGTGGCGGAGAGCCTCTTCGCTCTACAAACGGATGACCGAGCCAATAGCTACGCCGTCACGAGAGGAGAAGCTTTTTACATGCAGGTAAAGTATACGATGACTCGTAGAAATGTATTATTTATTTCTCTCTAATTGATCAATTAATTACGCGCACAGTGATTCTCGTAAGAAAGGCTTTAAAACGGCTAAATCCTGGAAGACTTGCGAAAAATTTTCTATTTTCTGGCTAGGGGACAGATGATTCTAGAAACGAAAACACCGCTTCAGAGGAAGCACGACTTTTCACATTTTTGCTAACACTCACCGAAACCATAAGAGATACTGAAAGAAATATTGAATATTGAATTTAATAGCTTTTCATGCTTCCTGATATCGTAATAAAAAATGAAAACTCATCTGATATGAGAAACCAGATTTTCTCTGAAAGGATGCTTTCGTCTCGAGGACCATTTTTCAGCTGAGAGAAAATGAGAATTTCATTCATAGAATAAATTCAACACCTTCCAATACAGACCTTTCGTTCGCGTCTCGCGATGAATGCAACCCACATAGCTTTCGCCGTTAATTTTGCGGAAATCGCATTTTGCGCTTCAGAAATGGACGCGATAATTTCGCGCCTTCGACGAGTTTCAGCACGCAACACACATCCGCTAATGTGCCGGTAACGAGTGTCCTCCTAACTGACCTCTCGTCTTCACGCATTAACGCGATGCCGTTAACAGACGAGGCAATTTTCGATAGACGTCCGCGATAGGCTCGTCCTCACCTCGTCGCATTTCTAATTTCTTCCGCTTAATCACCGCTAGCGACACATTGTCCGGCCAAAGCGATTCACCGCGTTTTCGAAACCTGTTGCACGCGGAAGCGGAGCGCCTCGTTTCGTGCGTATCTACGATTACGCGCACAACGACGCACTTGCACAGTGACGCTCGAACTGTGCCAATTAATGCGTCACGTTACGCAAAATTCTAATGCCAAGTGTTTTCTTTCGCACGAAAATTCATTTTAAATCATTCTCGCTATATTACATTCAAAAGTGATAAGATTAGTGTTGTGCAATCAATATATATACCGTGTTAACATTTGTCGAATTTAGTAAATGTCAAAGGATACGAATAATTCGGAAAATCGCAAAGATACGAGTCGACGAGAGCGTATCTCTCATGGCTTGGCAATCCTTCAGCAACAGCAAACTGATCTTAGATTCATCGAAGGAGTCGCCATGCCGGTAGGAAGCGTGCCATTTCTGCGACATCCTGTGTATAGTTAGCTACGCAGGGGAAACTGTGGCTCGTCCGTTCGCTCGTCTGGTAGCCGACGAGAACGATTTATGTGTCAATTTCCTGACGAGGCGACTCGTCGTCACGGGGGCAGGTGCCGCACTTCGGCGCGAAGATAAGACCCCGCTTCAGACTTCAGAGAACAGATGGCACTTCACTTACGGAACGTGGTTGTTACGCGTGAGGATAAAAATGCTCCGGTAAAAATCGCAACCGGGAGTTGCCCGCGCGGAGGAGCGGAATAACGAAAGATAAGAACATTACGACGTCGTTGCGGGCGTTTATCTGCCCTCAGACGTATGGAAAATCGTGTCAAGGCGCCGCGATCTACGTTTCGCGCGGACGAATGGACCGCTAATCAGCGCCGCTAAATACTGCTGACTGAGAAATGTTGGGAGTTCAAGCGAGAACCTCGGCCGATGAATCGTCGCTTTTGCCGCGTCACCTCCGTGAAAACTCAATTCAGCCGCGGTTAAGTCGATTTAATAGCGATGTGCGGACTAATGAAGGAAATTGGCTGAAATATCGCGCTCGCCTCGCGAGGAGTGAATAGTTGTTTTAATTGGACATCGATTTCCGTGCAACGTGGCAGCAGCGGCGTCGATTGCGGCTACCGTTGCTGCATATGAAAGAACGTCATGTTTTATGAAACCGGAACGATAACGTCGCCAACGCACCTCGAGAGTTTGTTCTTATCGCGAAGACGGCGGCCTCGGGTTTCTCCCGATGCGGATGAAACAGTCGCGACGGTTGTTGCAATCGACGCAGTAACATCGCCGGACTCCGTCGAGGAAATACAGCCGATCTGCGTTTCCTACGGCTCGCGATAATTTTGCGAAAAGTTCGCCAGGCCGATCCAGATTTTGCTCCGGACGAATTCGGAAATTCACGGCCGTCTCGATATCGAACAAACGAGGATGGAGCGCGACTGAAACGCGTGAGTGAAACGTCCAACACGGTCGAAACTTTCGAGAAATTTCACTTAACTCGCGAGAGAGTTCCGTTTATGTAAAATTATACTAATCTGATAGAACATGACAATAATATGAAAAGCTACATTTTCCGTATAACATCTCTCTCACATAAATCATATAAATGAAGTAACATATTATCAAATGAGAAGAAAGTGACATTATAAAATATCACATATATTATGTGCACAGAATTATAATATAAAAACTTAGCGGCGTAAAATTGCAAATATATTTCACAGAACTGTAAAATTGCGGCGATCTTTTCATATTATAAAATACGGGGGCGCTTTCTCATTTCACTGCTTCGAATTGACGCTGAGTTCGAGAGCTTCAGCGTGCTTGTGGATCCGCGTCGGGTCGCAACGGTGCGAAAACAGCACGCGCGTAGGCGGCACGCGACCTCGTGGCCGCTCTCTTTCCGCGGGATTAGTTTCTTGGAAATTGAAGGGGGCGAAACGATAACGAGAGGAGCAACACACGCGGTCCGGAGTCTGGACCAGTCAATTCCGCCGGTGCACTTTCGCTCGCGTGCCGGAGGATCGTCAAGGAGTCGGACGGAGGTATATCCGAGCGGGGAATTAAACGCTCAAAGGCCACCTGATCGTGAAGCGAGCTCAGGTGTCCCCTTAAGCCCCTCCGGCGCGACTCACTTAGTATGTGTGTCGGGGCACCTACGACTCGCGGATACTTTTAAAACAATGAGGCGACATTGGCGGACCCGCAGTAAGTGTTTCGGTGTCGATCGTTAATGAGTCTCGCCGTGTCCTCCTTCTCGGTTCTGCGACGAGTGAATATCCTTTTGTTCGGCTTCTCTCTTCCTCTCTCTCTCTCTCTCTTTTTCTCTCTCTCTCTCTCTCTCTCGCTCGCTGTCTTTCTTTCTCAGCTTTTTGTTGCGTTGCGCACGTTCGAATATCTCTCTCTTTCTCTCTCACCCTCTTCTTTCTCCCTCGTCGTACGAAGCTCGCGGCTTTTCTTAGCTAAAGCTTCCTTCTATCTATAAACTGAGAAAAGAGAACTAAAGAAGATGTAGCATCGTGCCGGATCATCGATTGACGGCCGGTGTATCTGCTAGCCGGCGATGATGAGCTGCGTCCGCTCGCGCGCAAGTACGAACTTCGACTACGGGAAATTGGTCTTGTCGAGAGAGAGTGAGAGAGAGGTCGCGTCGTCAACAATTCATCGTGATGGATACGAAGGAACGGAAACGAAGTCTCCTGAGACGGGCCAAGGATGAGGTTGAATTGGACAGGATGAATAAGCAAAAGCAAGGCAAGGTAATGTGCCACCGCCTCGAGGGAGAGTCGAGGTAATGTTCTCGCTTTTGCGTCCCGGCGACATTGCGTTAGCGCGGCACGCGCGGTATAATGACAATAATATTGTATTACGCGTGAGAGAGCGGCGGTTTCTGCGCTGAGAAAATGCACGGACGGAAGAGAGCGAATTACCGTCCACCGTGACGGTTCGGCCGCGTGGCTCTCTCTTCGCCACGTGTTTACGCCCTCAAGTTCAAGTGGAAAATCCCCTCGCTCGCTCGCGGGGGAAACGTGCCTCGGATTAAATCAGAATTCACGGGCGAGCGGGCGAAGTGCGAAATAATTGCGGGTCGACTTGTGAGCGCGGTTCTCTCCGAGAAAGAGAGAGATATTTATTTAAATTTATTTAACTATATGCGAACGGGCGCTCGCGGGAATACTGGATAAAAAGGAGAAGAGGAAAAAGGGATAGAAACGAAGGAGAGAGAGGGAAGAAGAGAATCGTCGTGGCGCGCTGTTATGTAACCAGCCGCGGCATTTCCGCGCAGCGGCGTTTTTTTATCGGGCACAATGAAATCGCACCGCCCGTATATATCGTCCGCGCGTAAAGCGGCGGTTAAATAACGCGTAAAATGAAAAGCTGTAAAAAAGGCGGTCGCTCATTGCGAAACAGCGTGATGGACGCGATAAACTCCGGTTTGTCCGCGCCAAGTGGCCTCCGTCGTCCGGAGTCGGTCATATTCTCTCTCTCTCTCTCTCTCTTTCTCTCCTCCTTTTTTTCCCCTCTCCTTCTCCGCCTCCCACTTCGATCTCTCGCTGAAACGTTTCCGCCGTCTTTCTCCGCGACTCTCCTCCGCGCTATCGCGCGCTCAGGGCGTGACTCGGTGAAAAGGGCCTCGTCGGACGCGACGGGAGAAATAAGCGATCGAGCCGGGAACTGACCGGTGCCGTTCATGAGCAGCAGCAGCGACAACAACGACCGGGGCACGCTTCGCTCTCTTTTGTCAAGTCCCTCGTAAGGGAGAGAAAAGCGTCGCCACCACCGTCTCTTGTGGAGGGATCAAAAAGATACGGCGAACACCGGCCGGTGAGCCGGATTAATTATAGCGGTGCAACAACAATGACGCGCGCGCACCGCTTCTTTGTTGGCCCTAATTAAATTCCCACCCTCC